CCCCTCCTCTCCCTCCGCCCCCCTCCCCCACAGCAACCCCACTCCCCCCACCCCCCCTCCCCCACCCTCCCCCCCCCCGACACACACCTACTCCCCTCCACACCACTCCCCCCCCCCCCACTCCCACCCCCTCACCCCCCTCCACCTCCCCCCCCCCCCCCCCCCCCCCCCCTCCCCCCCCCCCCCACCACTCAATCCAACTCCCCCCCCCCCTCAGCCCTCCCCCCACTCCGCCCCTTCCCTCCCTGCTCTCCCCTCCCCCTCACCTCCTCCCCCTAACCCACCACCCCCCCCCCGCCCTTCTCTCCACCATCCCAGCTAACAACCACACACATACCCCCCCCCCCCTCCTCCCCCACACCACCCACCCACACCGACCTCATCACCTCACACCCCCCCTCCCCCCACCCCCCCCCCACCACCCCACCCATCCCCCCCCCCACACACCCCATCACCACCCCACCCCCCCCACCTCACCCCCCCACCCACTCAACCCCTGCCCCTCCACACCACACCCCACCTCACCCCTCCCACCCCCCACCCCACTCGCAACCACCCCATTCCAACCCCTCCCCTCCCCGACCTCCCTCACCCCCCCCCCCGCCTCCCCCCTCCACCCCCCCCCCCCCCCCCGCATCTACCTCCCCCCCCCTCCCCTCTCCCCACCCCCCTCCACCACACACCACCCTCAACCCCTCCAACCCCCCTCCCGCCCCGCCACCCTACCCTACCTCCCCCCCCCTCCACCATGTTCTCCCCACCCCTCCCACCCTCACCCCACCCCACCAATCCACACCCCCACCACAATGACCCACCCCCCATCCTCCCTCTCTCCCCCCCACCCCTCCCCCACTCTCCTCCCACCGCACCACACCCCCGCCCTTCACTCCCCCCCACACCTCCTCCCCCCCCCCACACCCGTCCCACACCCCTTCCCCCACCACAACCCCAACCACACCCCCCTCCTCCAACTCTCAAATCTCCCACCGCTCACACACCCCACCACTCTACCCCCCCCCCCCCACCCACCCCTCCCACCTCACCCTCCCTCCCTCCCCTCCACACCCCAGCCCCCACCCCCCCGCCTCCCCCACCTCACACGACCGCCCACAAACCACCCTCCGCCACCCCCACCCCCACCCCACACCCCCCACTCGCCCCCACTCCCCCACCCCCCCCCCCCCCCCCCCCCCCTCCCTCCCCTCTCTACCACCTCTCCTCGCAACCCCCACTCACAGCCCACCCCCCACACAACCCACCCCAACCCACCCACCCGCCCTCACCAGCCATCCCCCCCCCCCACACAACCACACAACCCCCACCCCACCCCGCCCACCCACCCACCCCCCCCTGCCCCAACCCGACACTACCCCCCACCCTCCCACTCCTCCATCGCCTCACCTCACACCCCCAACCACCCCACACCGCCGCCCCCCCACCCCACCACTCTCCTACCTCTCCCCCGCACCTCCCTCTCCCCCACCCGCGCCCCCCCCCCCTTCCGACCCCCCACCAGACCCCACACCACTCACCTCCACCACCCCACACCCCCCCCCCCCCCCCCCCCCACCCGCCCCCCACCCGCCCACCTTCCCCTCCCCCACCCTCCACCTCCCACCATACCCATCCCCTCCCACACTACAACACTCACCAATCCCACCCCCACCCAGTCCCCCCCCCCACCGCCGCACCCCTCCATCAGCCACTGGGCACGGTATTCATCTCCTACACATATTGCATGACAGCCAAGGAAGAGGACCCACCCAGATTCAATCATCTGCTCTTCTCTCATATAATTATCCAACACATTTTATAATACGACAGCGACAATATATGAGATAGTCTACTAAAGGTACTCAGGACATAACTCACGCTGTAGTAAGCAATATGTCAGTCACCCAATTATAAGTACATCTTCGCCTTCGGAAGCGGTTCGTAAACACGTCTTACAGAGGCTCCCGCCTTAGCTAGACGAATCGAAAATTTATAGTCAAGTCTCACAGATTGGTGTATACCGACTCGCATAACGTCTACGCATACAGCATAAACTATATGTCGCCAGTCTCTATGAGCGCCACATTTAACCAGAAGAGAACCAATAGGAGCATACTTTCTACATATCGCTGACAGATGACACATACCATCATACCATTAAGACTAGTGTCGAATGTCCACACCGAAAAAAAGTTTTCAAAGTCACGAAGTATTCGCGCTCGATCTCCCGCGACTCAGGATCCGATACACCTGCCAGCTTAAACATCAATATCAGCCACCACCCTTCTGGATACGCTCCACTTACCGTAAAGGGACGACCCCATGGACAGAGTCAATCAATACATCATGACTGGACAGCGAGACATCCGAGTTTATTCTTCCGATTTATATATTCCAAGCTTACTTCGTCGATAAGTCCACAATTTCGAGTGCATCTTAACGGTAGTCAAGGTCGTCCACGACACTCGCACGCTAACAACTACATGTACCCACGACCCAGGGCTTCTAAGTCACGGCTCCTTCGGAAGGTATGCTCGGTATCGTCTCCGAGTGCCCGACTTGCTTGCGATCGAAAAGTTCTTGTCAAAGATCCACAATATTGGGGTCTCTACGACTCGGCTCGTCAGCGCTGAGTAACATAATCGTCAGCCGCAGTCCTCTCAGTCCGCTCCCTTTCGAAGCGGCCCGCCATGGGTCATCTCTCATATGCATGAGGTGCCACAACCTGCGGGTTCCCAAGGACTTTTTTCAGTGGGGCCACATCAACTTCCTTTCTGCAGATGGGGGGCCCGAGGTTAGTCTATAACAGGAAATGATATGGGCCAGGTGTACAACACAGTATTATTGTGGAGATTAACAATGAATAATTTATTGTAGCTGCCCTTCGTTTGGCTTTGCACCCGCAAACCCTGGTTTGGATTTGCAAAAAAAAGTAATAAAAGTCTTCACATGTGTTTTATTTGAAGTACCAATAGCAGATACTCCATTTATTTATAGAAAATATACAACACAAACTGATGGCAATGTCGGGTGGGGGCCGCACGGCGGGGCCGGCGGGCGGCTGAGCTCTGCTTGCTGGGCGCAATGCTGTGCCGGGGGGGGGGGGTGGGCGCGTACCACAGATCTCCATTTATTTTATAGAAAATAACAACACAAACTGATGGTACATTTCTTCAAGTAACGAAATGAGGTGATTGATTTTGTAACAGGTACAGTTGAGTTAACAAATGTGTAAAGTGTTCTTTCTTTACAGGTAGTGAAATAATATTAATACAGAATAGTGGTCAGAATCAGGTTAGAACATGTTGGCCTATACAAAACAGGCATTACGTATAACCTCGACATCTTTTAATATTCTATTGCTATTGAAATCAGTAGGCTTACCATATCAGTGTGAGCTGTGGGCTTGCTTCTGACTGGTGAGGAGATCGATGTCAGGTTCCATTCCAGTTACAGCCAGTCTCAGAGACTGATGCAGGTGTTGATCTGTGAGACTTGATCTCGTCGGATTTTTTATCAGCTTCATGTGTGAAAAAGTTTGCTCACAGATATATGTGCTCCCAAAAACTGTGGACATCTTTGTTGCGTGCTTTCTTATGTTGGGGTAGGTCTCATTTGGGAGGGCAGCATAGTACTTGATCAGACTGTTGGGGCTGAATACGTCTTTCAGCACATCACAGGTCTGCAACTCAGCCAGCTCAAATTGAAGAGAAGGCAGGGTGTCGTTAATGTCGGCAGCAAAAGGGTTCTGGAATGTGCGGATTTCTTTAACGTGGACATGAAGCTCACGGAACCGCACACCGAACTCCGCCCTCAGTGTTTCCAGTGCGTCCTTGCACTTCTCGGTTGGGAACGGGACCGCCGGTTTCTCAGCTGAGAAGCTTCGAGTAGCAGGGAGATGGGTGAAGTCTTGTTTTTGCACCTGTCCAATAAGCAGCACTAGTTTAAGCTCAAATACTTTGATGTGGGAATACATGTCAGATTAGTTTTCCCTTGCCTTGGAGCTGCAAGTTGAGGCCGTTTAAAATTTCTGACACATCTGTTAACAAAGGCGAGGTCCCATTTCCATTCTGTGTCGATCAGCTCTGGGACAGTTTTTCCCTTTGTCAGGAGAAAGGCATTGATTTCGGGTAGCAGGTCGTAAAAACGCTTCAAAACTCTGCCCCGGCTTAACCAGTGGACTTCAGTGTGGTAAAGCACGTCTCCGTGGGCTGATTCTAGCTCGGAGAGAAAGGCTTGGAACTGCCTGTGTTTAAGTCCGTTTGCTCTGATGAAGTTTATGCAGGACACAACCACCTTCATGACAGATTCCCACCTCAGAACTTTGCAGCTTGACGCTGGCTCGGTCACGATCAAAGTCACGTCAGAATATACCATTGTGTGAGGAGGTGAATATGAGCCACTATTAACTATAAATAGCTCATAACTATGGTCAATTTTAATTAGAATGCCAACCTTTAAGTACGGATATGTTATGATGTTATGATAGGAAAATGCAATTTAATAAAAATTGGTTGATGTTTAGAGGGATTGTCTGGGATCGTTAAGTGGGCCACTCCAATTGCTTTGGCGGGCCGGATGTGGCCCGCGGGCCGTAGTTTGGGGACCCCTGGCTTACATTATATCTAACAGTGACATAATGTTGTCACATGATACTCCATGGTGAAATACTAATAGTCAGCAGTGGCATATGCCAGATAAGTTGGAGTTGCAGTCACACAGCATTGGTATAATAATAATATAATATAATAATTAGCAGCAGCATTTACTGTATCAGTAAGAATTGGTATATGACAGTGGAACATGAGTGACAAACGGCGCCACAAGCCAGTAAAACGGCGGGAACATGTCAAAAACCAGAAGTGGCATATCAGACAGAACTGGCAAATGGCATTAATAGTGGCGTGCCATCAGTCACTGCAACTCTTTCCACTCTTTACTGCTGAATGTGCTCTTTTGTTGCACTTCTTCCATGAGTTTTTGTTTTCTCTGGTGTCCGTCCACAGTGCTGACCTCCGTTTCCGAGCGGGAGTTTATTGAGGGGAGGAGACGTGCTCTGGGCAGGTTCATTAACTTGGTGGCACGGCATCCCATCTTCTCAGAGGACGAGCTGGTTAAGACCTTCCTCACCTTCAGTGGCTCTGTATGTAGTTTCTGTAACTTGCTGCCTGGTTTCACTGCTAGCGCCGGCTGTTGCACAATAAGCCCATAACGTCATGATGACTGACAATGAGATGCATCCTGTACCAACTACTCAGTGTCTTGTTCTTTTTTTTTTCCCTCTCACCCACTCCTCACCCCTCTTCCCAAACAGGATGTTCAGAGTAAGCTGCGCGATGCTTACAAGAAAACAGGTGACGAGTTCATGACCAACAGAATTGCAACCCAGGCAAAGGTTAGTCACAAACTGTATGTACGACAGAAAAATCCTTGCACAGTTGCCCTCAGAGAATAACCCGCATTTTAAAATTTTGTTGGACTTGTTCTGTAGGAGTATCTCCCCGCTGACATTCAGTCCCAGTTCTCGACAAGCAGAGAGCTGATTAGAAATATCCACAACAGCTTCCACAAGCTGCGGGACAGGGCTGAGAAAATGGCAGAGCGCTCTAAGGAGAATGCAACTGATCTCCTCATGTTTGGCAGAGAGCTCAGGTATTTCATTATTATGAATATGAGGTTAAAGTCTTTCTCTACTATCCAGAGGTTTTGGACTGAGAAAACAAATGTTAATATGATTCAAAGTCCTCTGTGTTGTTGTGTCTCTTCATGGTTGTGAGCTTGAAATTCATTTGGCAGCGAAGGCACCACAATATTACATTATGTCCCTGTAATAATGCGGTTCTCTGCAGTGCACTGGGCTCAGATGCTTCATCTCTTCCCGCCTTGGCCTCTTCACAAAGCACCTGGGGGACCCTGCGTCAGTCACTGAAGAGTCTGTCAGTGGAGTTCGCTGTGCTATCTGACAAAGCTGCTCAGCAGGTACAGCCCTCAGTCCTTCATCCCCACCACCTGCTCTGCCGTGCTCGTCCAAAACTGGCACTGGGTAATAAATGTTGTTTTGCTAATGTCCTCAGGGCAGACGGGAAGAGGATGATGTTGTGGAAAAACTGAATCTTTTCCTGGATTTGTTGCAGTCGTACAGAGTGAGTCAGTTTCGCTTTTGTTTTTTTGGGTTGTTTTTTTTTTTTAATGTACTCATTTAACTTAAATTCATCGCCAGGGGTCCCCGACCTTTCATGACAGGTGATTTTATTTTGAAGTTTACATGTTTGATGTCACATCAAGGCAATAAAATCAATCACTTCTTTTCTGATTGGGAGATATGAGGAGCTGTAGATTGACAATAAATCCAGGTTCAGTTAGTAACTAAATTCAGGATATTATGTAATGGTCAGTTTTAACCCAACAAGTCTATCTCACTTGGAAGTGTAGTTTTTAATAGTGGGTGGATTGTTCAGATTTATCAAGGCAACTGGTGGGCAGATAAAGTGGCATTTTTCATAGCTCCTCAACTAAATCTATTAACAGCAATATACTGTATATGGTAATTTTTATGATCCTGTCACCCTTGGCTGTTGCATATTAATTTATAATGACATTTTGCCATTTTGAGGCAAATAAGAACTGCTGTTATGTGACCATGACTGTCTTTTTCTCTAGGATCTCTGTGAGCGCCATGAGAAAGGCGTGCTGCACGAGCACCAGAGAGCTCTGCACAAGTACAGTTTGATGAAGAGGCAGATGATGAGCGCCACCGTTCAGCCAAAAGAGCAGACATCTGTGGAGCAGCTTGAATCACGAATTGTTCAGGTGATCAGTCTCTTTCAGTCCCCCCCACACACACACACACACACACACACACACACACACACACACACACATTTTTAGCCTCTCAGGTTGCCTCCTCACTGATTGCATTTTGTTTTAACTCATTTTCTACTTGATAAATAAAATGCTACACTGGCTTGAGTGTGTCTATTACTAATCCACTCGCCATTAAACACACAGTCTGGCCACATCTTGAGCGGGACACCATAGCAACCCTGTCACAGCAACTTGCAAACCTTCCATTACTCATTAAAGAAATCCAGCTTTCCACATAATACATGCATACAAATGACACATGGTGAAATTATATCTCATTAGTTAAAAATAGATAAAATAAATAAAAAATGCTGTGTGATATCTGGAGAGGTTAGAAATTCTCACACCATTTACCATTTCCTACCAGTTCTGAGGTGTGAAAGCAACAAGATATTCGCTCTTTAAAGTCAATCAAACCATTTCACACTTTGGAGTATAAATACTGACAGTGCCCCCATGCAGTATATCTCCTTTAGCAGTGTTTAATAACCATCAATATCTCACAGGATTAAACCTTTTAATTTTTTTTCTAGCAATCTAATTGTATTGAAATACCGACATACTAAATGTGGACGCCTAAAATAAAATAACATGGTGATTAAGAGCTTCACTTTGAATGTACCAAATCACCATTTCAAACACTGGAACAAAGCTGAGTCACGTTAGGTTTTCTGACAGTTAACAGAGTTTGTCATCTCAACAGTTGTATCCCTGTTGGTTTTCATCTTGTGACTGCAGTTCCTCTTGTGTTTTTATGAACATACATACTCATACATTTCCGGACCATTCCCCATAACAGTATATAGTATTGTTGTACTTTTATACTAAATACATCTCTAGTCTGGGCTTATACAGCTGTTTGCCTCTTTGTCAGTTGATCAACCCTTGTGACCACATTTTCAACTATGAGTCAGCTGAGTGCTTTAAAGTACCTTTGCATCAGATTATTACATCAACAGACAGTGTTATAACTTTTATCACTGATATGTTGTCAGAGATAAGCAGCAGTTTGTTTTTTTTAAGGTAATGTTATCAAAATAAAAGCTGCCAAATGTCCAATCTAGGTCTCAAGACAGAAAAAAATGACTGAGTTAAGAAGATTTGTACAGTAATTTAAATATGTGGGTCCAGTAACTGTTTAATATATAAAATTGAATAATATTCTGATATTAGCTGTGCTATGTTATAGTCATGCTAGCAACTCTGTGAAACTGTACCTTTGCACAGTGGTGCTTTGAGCTAATTGCTAATGTTAACGTTAGCAATATGCTTACTGTGAAAATGTTAACATGCTGATACGTATAATGTTAACTGTGTTCACCTTAGTTTTGTGTGTTGTGTTTGCGCATGCTAACACTTGCCAGTTAGCATTAAGCACAAATGGCTGATGTGAATGTCACTGGTTTTGCAGGTAATGTTCATAAATTGAGGTATCGGATGGTTTGATGATGGTGCTTCATGAAAGTTAAAAGATCACCAAAATAATTACAATTCATCCTGAGGGGAAGGTGAATGTTTCTATCAAGTTTATTGTCAATCCATCTAGTTAGTTAGTTAGTTAGTTAGTTGGTTAAAGACATTTCACAAAAACACAACACCTCATGCTGGCACTGGAGTGCAAGTCAGGGGATCACCAAAATCTGTAGGATTCATCATCTGGGGGCCATGAATCTGCCCAACAGTTGTTGAGATTTCACTCTGGGCCAAAGTTCTGGACCCACAGACAGATTGACATAGCCAGTAGCATGGCAAAAAACCCATTGTTGTAATAGTAAAGTAATATGCCGAGATTAATGCAGCCTGGCTTGTGATTTTTGACAATGTTTTAAATCCTAAAATCTTTATTGCCCACAGGAAATGTTTCTTTTTCTGATTATTATCATCACTTGATAAGTGATTATGATTTCACATTGTATTTTTCCATTCTGCTAATAGCAAGAAAACGCCATTCAGACCATGGAGCTGCGTAACTACTTCTCCCTGTTCTGCCTTCATCAAGAGACTCAGCTTATCTTCACCTACCTTCCAATCACATCCCACATTCTCGGGGCTTTTGTTAACTCCCAGGTCCAAGGACACAGAGAGGTGAGACTGCATGTCTGGAAATAATTTTTCTTCAGACCCTCCTCTATATCGACACAGCACTGCTTGCTCCAGGGAGGGTCAAAGCTTTAAATTGGCTTTTAAAGTCCAACAAAAGAACTAATAATGATGGTTTGTATCACTGAATGGATAATCGTCTCATCTAGGATTTGAGTTGGCTTACATTTCACATGAACAAGTGAATCTCCTATAAACCTTTGCCTGTTATATAATCAAATAAAGTGCAGAGCATATATTTCTGTCATTAGATACCTCAATCTGAACTGAGTCTTTTTCACTCTAATTCAGATAGGCCAGCGTTTTTATAGGCTTTCTGTTCATCTCAGAGCTCCTGAAGATAACACAGTAAACATGCAAACCACTAACCAATATTAAGATGCAGTGTGTTATATTTATGTTAAGAGCTGTTCCAGGATTTGACTTTTGACTTTTTTGCTATTTTTTTTTTCCAGATGGGAGAGGTGTGGAATGAACTCCAGCCAAAGCTTGGATGTCTCTTTGGTGGTAATAATGGATTGAAAACCCCCATCTAAAACCTAAGGGATCTGCAAAGGAGAAACACTGCCGCTGATGAGGATTACAAACTGGAAAATAACTTGCTCTGTGAGCTAAAGCAAAGAAAAAAAAAAGTTTATTGCACAACTATTTTTCATTGTACTACATCTTCTATAACACAATACACATTCCATTCAGTGAGAGGATTTTCACTTTTGGGATTTGACCATCAACCATACAACCTTTAACTGGATAGTGTTGCTCATGGGTCATTTTATGGTCTGCCTGATGAGGGTATAATGTCCTTTTATAATCTCCAAGTCAACTTTTACAGCCGCCAACAAGGAAGAAAAACCCTCTCAGGTGTTATTTTACAAGGGACAAAAGAAGGATGACAGTATTTTCATACATTCCAGCTCCTCTGATAAAGCACCTGCTATTAACTGAAACTTTTCAAAAGTTTTATACACTAAAATAAAATTGAGAGGGAGAGAAAGTTTTACTTTATTAAAGGAAGGGATTATTTTAAATCCTCTAGTCACAAACTTTTTGGTTTTACTTACTGAATAACTTTAGACCAATGTATTTTTGATACAGATTTTAGTTCATAAGGATGTGTAGCAGCATACTTTATATTTTTTATGTATAAGTGTGCTATTTCTTATGGTTTACTTTTATGTAGAGAAACATCTTTGCTTTCATTGCTTTAACTGTTTGCAAGACTCCCTTTTATTTTATAAGCTATTTTCTTGAAAAGCTGGAGCTCAAATTGTAGGATACTACAAAGGGCAGAGATTTGAGATGTATTGATAAAATGATGACCTCCAGCACTAGTGGCATAATATGTCAGTAATTAAAACACTATAAGCTACTGATTAACTACCAAAGATAAATATTATAAATTCACTTAAATATACACATGTATGATAGAACTTCTATAATTAACACCTTATGTCTTTAATTTCAGCAGAAAATCTTACCATTTTACTCCATACATGAGGACTGTTCTTCACGGTTGCAGATATCAATTTGAATTTGTGTAATTGTGTGTGTGAGGACAAACACAATGTGGATGTTGTTGAACTCCTTTTCCATATATGATCAGACTTTCTACTTTTCAGATATTTGGCATGGAAAAAATGATGCACGCATGTCTGTGCACATATAGTTTATCAGAACATGATATATTTTTCTAAAAAAAAAAAAGAAGAAGAAAGAACTGAAAGTAGCAAGTTGACAAACATTTTACATTTTTGTGCATTTCATAAGTTACCTAAAAAATTGTCACCAGCTGATTTCATCTCATCACATCCCGAAGTGACTGTGTGGAAATCAAGGATGCCATTTATAGGTATTTTATTAAGAAACTGTAATGCTGTATGAAAATACCTTTGTTTTGGCAACACAAATATTTTGGGAATGAGCACAGAAAATGAAACCCAATAAAACTATTACTGTAGATATTGTAAATATTTTATTAAAGAAAAGAAAATCTTTGCTGAATGCTGTTAAATGAGTTATCTTGAAAAATAAAATAATTGAACTGAAAACATTTTTTTTCAGTACAGAGCTGCTTTGATTTTGTTTTTTGATTTTGTCAGCTGGTAATGTTTGTGATGAAAACAGACAAAGAATAAAAAGTTTTATCCTGATGTTAAATTACATGTAAACACTGTACAGTCAACATGGTTCTTTAAGATCCTCAGGATCTAATATCCTCCCACAAATGAAACCGGACAAGAACATTGAACAGTGGGATATTGGTAGTTCATATCAAAATTTTTAAGGTTGATGTTTTGTTTTTAGGCCAAGTCATAAACAACCTCAGCAACAGCCGGGTGATCTCAGAGCTCCTCTACTTCCTCCAGTTTGTGGCTGAGAATCACGTCGTGACCCTGGAACTTAAAGTATCCAACAAACTTCTTCTTCTGCAGCATCAAAGGGAACCACAGAATATCGTCAGCCCACATTTGACTGAAAGGGATTTGGTCACATTCAAACCACTGAGGCCTCATTTCTAGAACAGCAGAGAGACAAAAAATTAGTCGACCTTACAAGAGTGAAACACATTTTTATCACCTGCCTTGCAATGTTACAGGAGGATCAAGATTCACTGAGTTTATCACTTATCTGAGTTATTTCTGAACCATCACCGTCCAGTGCATAGTGGCAATGATAACTGAATCAAATGAAGTTGCATTAGGACTTATAAATTAGTAAGTAATAAGTTGCTGACAGTCTTCGTTATTAATGCAGTGCAGATAACAGCAATTCCAGACTCCTTTCCTGCTTTATCTTATCTGTTCTATGTGTGAATGTGCTTTTAAATTGAAAATGAAAAAAAAAAAAAACACTTCCAATTCAGTTGAAGTAAAGGTTGGTGTTTTCTGAAGTATTTCCTAAAACAATATCCCCATGTTCATAAGTACATTGAAGAAATCCTTTCTGTTTAGCTCAACACCAATGCAAGAGATAGGGGACAAAATCCACCGTTGTCATGATGTGCAGAAAAAATAAAAAGGCCTGTCAAAGTTCATCTGAAGCTAATGCGAGTCTGAGTTAGACAAATCCAAATGGGTTATCCAATGAAGTTACTGTCATTTTTGTACAAAATTTCCTCTTTGCATTCCCCTGATGAGCTATGGTGAAGGGAGAGTCACAAAAAGAACGCTGTGCTAAGAAAAACTTTGCCACTTGATTTGTCTCACTCAGTCTTATAAAGGCTCATTTGGACTTAAATTTATAATTACGTGTCCCCCGTCTCTTACATATAAGTTGTGCTCAGAAAGAATTTATTCACCAATAACCAATCATTCTCTCGATATACAGAACAGTACATATGGGCATGTGAGCATTGTTTTAAAACAGACTTCAAAAAATGCGAACCTGCCCTTTAAGTGCGAATGCCGACTTATATATGAACAAATAAATCATGGATGAAATTTAGTTTTTCCCTAAAGATAAAAGATACTATATTTCAACTCTGGCTTTTCCTGCACTTGCAACGTATGAGTAAATAAATGTGTGACTTCTTATTTCTCAAAAGTCTCAAAAATCACTTGCCCAGACTGCTTCTAAATTAAACCTGATACTTCATTAAACTCCTAATCTCCTCTTATTTCTCTGGCTGTTTGACTCATTCTGTTTCCCTCCAGAGTCTTTGGCTCATAGCTGATTTCTGACTCTTCCACGAGTTGTGGTTTGCTTTTTGCTGTCTGTAAACTTCACCCAGTTGACCTTGACTAAATTCTTAGGAAACATAGATCAGTTCAGGGTCTCTGCAATGTTCCCTCTGCTGACGTGTTCTCTGTGTATTTACAGTATTTTTTTTACTTTATTATTTTTTTTACTTCACCACTGAGAGCACACTTACAGATTCTCCCCCTTCACTATTATACAGTATATTAGTACTTTGTTCAGAAGCACGTCTGTGTCTCAGTCAATACACTTGGAGTCAGTGGTGATAAGTAACTAAGTACATTTACTGAAGCACTGTACTTACAGTAAGAAGTACTTGTACATTACAGTATTTCATTTTCCTGCTACAATGCTTTTATACTTCGACTCCACTACATGTACTTGACCCCTGGCTGCAGTTAGTAGCTATTTTCAGATCAAGATCACACACACAAAACATTTAGTTCATAAAATATGACGTGATGTTCAGTGCACAAAATCTACTCATAGAATAATTTTAGTCTTTAATTGAATCCTTCACATCTTATTTTCTTGATAAAAGTGACAAAAACTGTAAATACATTTCAACCTGTTTTCAGTGGAAATCAAAGTTATTTGCCATGAAGTCTGGACTTCATGGAAGGAAGATTAAGAGGAACCAAAAGTAAAAAGAGAAAATATTCGCAGAATTAAAGTTTTTTTTAGACACATCATTTACTTGGAATTATGTTCAACAAAATCATAAAGTTCCCCTTCACCTCCAAATTCATGGAAATTTTTTATTATGGCAACAAGTGGCAAATTTTGTCAAATCTAGCTTTACCTTCTATTTATTTTCGAGGCAATAGTTGTGTATATATACTGTATGTAGAACATAGCTGTTTCAATGAAGTTTTATTTTGGAGAGTAAGACCCCTCCCCGCCTCCTGCTTCCTCTTACCTCCCCGGACTTCCTCTGATTATTACACAACGGTAATCAGTTTCATAAGGACATAGATCACAGGAATGATCCTTTAACACTACCCACAGTTCAGTGTGGCGCAGTAGAAATCATACCATCTGACTCTGTTGGATCTCCATTATAAGTATCAGCTCTGAAAATGTGGACGTCAAGTAGCTGTGTTTCTCCGACAAACTCAAATTTGATATTTCCGACCTTCTCGAGAGCATCCACCGTGAGGCCACTTTCTTCCTGCAGCTCTCTGAAAATGAAAACATCAAATAAATTTTTGATCATGAGTATTTCAAAAATAACCTCTCTCTCTCTCTCTCTCTCACACACACACACACACACACACACACACACACACTAAAAGCGAGCATAGAGGGTGAAATCATGATATCAGTGTTTCCCAGACAGAGTATCTATTTGTGCAGACCACCCAAAGAGACAGAAAATCATTTTCCCACTGAGTCAGCGACATTCACTGATGAAGACAGTGAGATGAAGTTGGCAGCCACCCCCCCCCCCCTCCCCCCAATATGAAAGCCAGTGTCACAATATAACTACACAGATTTTAAAAAAAAATCTGCCTGCCACATGGTGCATTCAAGAACAAAAACTGTAGCCAACTCTCAATGCTCAGCGGTGATTTCCAACCACATACTGTACAGTCTCAGTGTGGAAAGTCCCACTCTCAAGTATGAAGCAAGTTTTTGTTTCCTTTTTATTGTTTCCCTTTTTACTTTGTCACTCTCATGCAAAAGAAGCAAAGTTAAATATTGTAAACAATATGATAACATACCTAAGTAACATAGTGACATAGCTCAAAAGATTTGACCCAGTGGAGTCTGTCTAAATGTTTTCAGTCACAGTCCTTGATTTAAAACATTTCCTTTGGTTGTTTCAATCAAACTAACAGCTAACGCAGCAATCACAACATTAAGTATTTTTACTGATACACTGACTGTCCCGGGCGCTTTTGTTCCAAAGTGTAACCAACATAATCTTGATATTATTTACCCTTCCAATATAGTTTCTGCAGAGCAGGTCTCTTTTTCACATTTGAGAGAAAGCAGCTCAGGAATGGGCCTGATTGCCTTCAGGGCTTCCTTCCTCGAGCTTTGGAGCAAACTTCCTGCTGCTGACTGATCGCACATTGTCCAGACTCAACATTAACTTATTTTATCAAGCTTACAAACTACACAAACTCACAAAACAGCCTTTCCACTTAACACTCGCACACAAAACTTTTATTGCTTCTGCTCTTACATGAAATATACACACGTTGTTTGATTTCAAATGCCCAAACACATCTTGGTTTATGCAGTTTTTAGTAATAAGTGTATTATATTTCCAATGGCGTGATATAATTCAATACAAAACTCTGATTGATGATCTGTGATTTGATAATATAATATGCCTCGTGGAGCTGAAAAATGGATTGTGAAATAATTTAAATCAATCTATTGTTCAGTGTATGAAACCTCAAAAGTTGTCAAAAAAAATTTGCTGAGTTGAAGGTGACATCTTGTTTTGTTTGCCCAACAGACCAAAAATCCCCAATATTCAGTTTACAATTACACCTGACATAGAAAAGGAGGAAATCATCTTATCTGAGAATCTAGAATCAGACAATATTTGACATTTTCACTCATTCTGCTTGAAAAATGACTGAAACAGTAAATCTATTATCAAAATAGTTGCTGATTATTTTTCACTTGATCAAGTTGATTAATTGACTAATCGTTTCAGTTCTAATCCTCACCCCTTCTCTGCTCAGTACCTCACCTTCCTCTGAGTTAATTTGCATCACATTGAAAAACCTCGTGTATAGTGAAAGACAAGCATCCCTGTGGCTTACACAACCACTAAAATACATATATTTAAAAAAAAAAAAATAGAACAAACTGCTTTTTTTCTTTAAAATTACAGGAAGGGAAGGTAGATACCTTAACATGAAGGGAAATTAATTTACCTTCTTGCAGCATCTTCAATTGTTTCTCCGGGCTGAACTTTGCCCCCAAACCCGTTCCACTTGCCAACCCCAAATCCTCTCTTCTTCATGCCCAGCAACACCCTGCCCGGCTGGACCACCAGCACCAGGGTCAGCAGCTTAGAGGTCAACATCTCACCTGTCTGAGAGAGGAAGTTAGGAAATATGACGTGACATAAACACAGTGTAAACACTACCTTAAGCAACATTAGCTTCCAGCTCAACAGTTGTAAGTCACCTCTGCGTTGACATCTTTACCTGAGCGATTTCTGCCCTATAAACTGTTGAAAAGCGCAAAAACAAATACTGAATAAAGACAGAATGAATAATATGTAATTGTATGAGAACAGTGCACGTTGAAAGAGTCCCGCGTGAACCGCTGCAGACGTCCTCACGTGATGTGCTGATATGTAAAAGCGTGGATTGGTCTGAGCGATGTCAGACTGAAACCGCGAGTGCCATCATTTGTTTTAAAGATCAGCTGGATGTGTCACCCTTTAAATATATTCGACTAGAAACTGCAGCGGTTTAATGTACCGACGTGTAAATCAATTTAAACCATTCAACTCACTTTATTCAATGATAATAATAATAATAATAATAATAATAATAATAATAATAATAATAATAATAATAATAATAATAATAATAATAATAATAATAATTTACAAAGGGCTTTATTGCATTAAAAGCAATAATACACAGAAATGACTACAACTGCATTAAACTGGATAAAACAAAATATGATCGGATGAGATAAGATCATAGGATAGGACGGATTTGATTTCCAGATAGGAAATTCACATGTTATAGCAGTACAAAAAACTGTTTAAAGAGGTAGGAAACAGAAACAACTATCATATTATACATAAACATTTCGAAATCAAAAGCATTCTTGATAAAGATTAAAACATACATACATGAAAACAAACATAAAATGTATTGGAAGGAATGGCAAAATGTATATAGGCTATTATATGAAAAAAGGCATTTTCAAAAGTGATTTAAAAGAAGTGCTGCTACGTCTGGTATGTTTTTATAAAGTGTAGGAGCCTTAATAGAAACGGCATGCAGGGACTACACTACACTGTAGTCTGATAGCCTACTGAGCTGAAAGACACTGATGTCCCAGGTAGGAACTATTGTTGTCTGTGTGTTGTAGTACGTGACTTAGCAATGGCGAATTGCACTTCCACGCAGGCGCAGTTGATCGTCCCGTACACATGACCCTGAACAGTAAAAGCAATGTGGGGTGTATCGTTGCAGAGGAGATGTTTACACCACTCTTTATGTTTAATGAAGAAGCAGAAAGGTAAAACTCCCGCAGAGCAGCGCTGGCTCACGCGACAGCTCAAAGACCCGTATGTCAAAGCCTCTCACGCGCAAAACTTTCGATGCAGAAGCGCCTTCAAGCTGTTAGAGATAGATGACAAGTTCAGGGTGTTACAGCCTGGAGACAGTGTGGTGGACTGCGGAGCTGCACCTGGAGCCTGGAGTCAGGTGGCCGTCCAGAGGGTCAACTCGGCGGGGACAGGTGAGAGGACACACGGGTATGCGCACTCCATGGACGCCAGATAGTTAATACAAGGAGACCGTATGAGAGAGAGGGGAAGCAATGACTAAAATCTAGCAACTTTTCAAGCCACATTTTCAGTTTTCCATTTTGTCCATCCCCTTTACATCAAAATACTGTGGACCTTGGCTATATTCCTATATTCCTTAAAGGGTCTTGGCTTGTTTAGGTTTATTGGAGAACTTGTTCTACATGATCTTTTACTGGAGATTTACACTTTTACTGATCAGTCCCTGTAAATGTCAGACTTCTTGCACTGTTTTTTTACTTTGATTTAAAAAATAAATAACAACACTGAAGAAAGTATTTGACGGATCAGTTTGTCCTGACATTATTCATTAACCAAGATAGAAGCCTGTGGTATTGTAGGATCAATACCTCCGGTTAAATACTGTAGTGCTGTGTGCAGATCCTGTTTTATGTACAGTTAATAATCAGTAATAAAATTATCAATTTATTCTAGTAATTGTAAAACAATACTGCAGTTGATGGATTAGCCTCTGAACAAAACAATTGAATATGCCATCTGGGAAACTGTGATGGCCATTTTTCACTTTGGGACAAATCAATCAAACAACTGGCAGAGAAACAGACAACAAAAACAATCAATAGTTGCTGCTCTCAACTTTGTACAAATGCATGGAAACAATCCGGAAAGCGACAACAATGTGCAAGACAGTTTTATAATATCTCATCCACACCAGAGTACCTGAAGTAATGAACCTATTATGAGTGGCAAGGAAAAGTTTGCGAACACTTTAGAATTACCTGGTGATTCATCATAAAATGTGAACTGATCTTCATCTATGTCACTAATGTAGCCAGACACAATGCGCATAGGCTCATAATGCACAAACAATTATAATCTTTTGTGTCTTTATTGAACACACCCATTAAACATTCATTAATAAGTGGTCAAACCTCACTGGGTTAAGGTCTGGGTTCTGATTCCAACAGGTGGATTTTCTTTGTTTGAAACCGTTGTCATTGTCCTGCTGCATCACCCAGTTTCTACTGAGCTTCAGCAGCAGGTGGACAGACACCCTGACATTATCCTGTAAGAGACCTGGATAGATGTGGGAATTCATTTTCCCCTCGATGACATGGAGCTGTCCAGGCTCAGAGGCAGCAAAGCATCAAATCATGACGCTCCCTCCACCTGACTTCACCATTGAGATGATGCTTTCATGTTGGTATGCAGTTCTCCTTTTACACCACACATAGTGCTGCATGTTCTTCCAAACCAATCCAACCTTAGTTTCATCTGTCCACGAAAAATTTTCTCAGTAGCATTGTGATGTGAAGCTGCTCTTCTGTGCAACCATCCACCATGATTTTATAACCACCTCCAAAGATTCCCTGTTGCTCTGGGCTTCATTTATACCTCGGTGATCATTCTGCATTTGGAGTCATCTGAGCTGGACGCCCACCACTAGGGAGAGAAGCCACGGAACTAAGTCATCTCCATTTATAGACAGTTTGTGTGACTGTGGATGGATGACAATCTAACCTCTTTGAGATGACTCTGTAAACCATTCTGCTTCACGCAAATCAACAATTCTTGATCGTAGGTCTTCTGAGATTCTTTTTTTTGTTTTGTTTGCGAGTTATAGTTCACATCAGCAGATGCTTCTTGTGAACACTGGTTTCCATTAGTTTCACTACTGCATGCAAACTAACAAGTATCTTATGTGAGATAATTCATCTGCATATCTATCATGTCTGCATTTATTTTTGTCTAAAAAATGCATGAACACTAGTATAGTAACTTCTATATCAATATTAACTTAATATTGAAGCAACATTTAAGTAGGTAATAGATTCAAGGCCATTAAGTTAAGTTGGTAACAACTCCCTTTTTCCCAGGTTGGCTATTTGTGCTATTGGCCAAACCATACTGCAATATGTTGTCTTGCTGCTTTGTGTTGGTAAAATCTCTCCATGGACAGTTTACTATTGGATATTTTTCGATGCATTAAATTTGGAGGGTGTGTGAACAGACTAAGGCTGCTATTTGAGGCACAGTATGTGGATTGGACTGACTTTCACAGGCAAGATTTCAGTGTCTTTAGGTTTTACTCTAGTCCCTGTAACCACATTGGTGGGCCAGCCTGTGATATGTGAAGTAACACATAAACATGTTCAAATAACAGAAAAAGCTGCTTATAAATTACAGTGGAAATATTTTTCTTTCAATCCAAGATCCAGAGTTACGGCGGGGTACGGTCATTGGCATTGATCTGCTGAACATACCTCCTCTGGAAGGTGCCCACTTCCTGTCCAGTCACGATGTCACTGACCCCGCCACACATGCCAAGCTGCTGGAGCTGCTCCCCAACGGACAGGCTCACGTCATCCTGAGCGACATGGCGCCAAACGCCAGCGGTTTTCGAGAGATGGACCACGAGAAACTCATCGTGATGTGTTTGTCTTTGATAGACTTGGCTGAGAGGATTTTAAAGCCGGGGGGATCTCTGGTTTGTAAGTACTGGGACGGGATCCTGGTTCAGAAACTCCAGGGGAAGCTCTCGAGCGTGTTCGGTAGTGTTCGGACTTTAAAGCCAAACGCTAGCAGGAAGGATTCGTCTGAGAGATATTTCCTTGCTAGAATGTACAGAAAGCCAGTGAGATGATGGTAGCTTTCTTTTATTTCCCTTGTGTGTATCCTAAAATGAAATTTGAATGTTCTGTTGAGATTCACAAAAGTGCCCCACTGTGTTTTTGATCAGTCTGATCTTGAGGATGAGGCCTCACTTAATACCTTTGATCAAAAGGTGGCACTGTTGAGGCATCGGTGAAGGCTCGCGGCTCCGGGCAAAGGCACATCAAATGCTGCTGGTGTTGATTTTCATCCCAGCAAACTTAACACAGTAGCATCAGTGAATCAGTAATATGTAAGCCTATGCAAGAATCATCGGTGTGATATTCCTCAAGAGCCCGATGCTGTGTTTTCTCTGAAGTTATTGTTTGCCCCACAGTGTTTGTTCTACACACTCAGTTTGCTATTTGCTTTGTTACAGAAAGTCATTTACCAGTGCTGCTTATGCTAATAATTTGCACTGCCAGCCATGTAGAAATATGTAATCATTCTCTCATTCAGAGTTTATGAAGGGAAAACCTAATACATAAGAGTCACATACAGCATGACTAATGGGAAGTGGGATGATGCTGGAGCTTGGCACGCTGCGAGTGTTGCTGGGCTCTGCTCTCTGACAGTGGAGAGATGGCCATTTCCTGGGAAAATATTTTCAGGCCAGTAGACAGATTTTAAGATTCTTCTTTAAATCACTGTGCTGAACACTTTGGAGAGGGCTATTTATTTTGTTTGTGTCTGTGATTCTGTTCTGTTGTGAGTTTGGAACCACTGCTGATGAAATAAAAGGATGTTTCTGTCAGACACACAAGTCATATATTTGATGTCAAAGGAATCTATATAGGGATTCACAGTATAGTTCTTGCCGATATGCGATAGATATAACATTGTCTGCAGTGTGATGTGCATAGTTGTTCTTGCAGTCCAGTGAATCCAGTCTGCAGGGGTGTAGCATGAAAATTTGGGCTCTGTGCATATGAGGTCTCAGTGCGCCCACTTTAATACATCAGCTCTCATGCATGTACAGATAACTGTCTCTTTCTCTTTGATCATTTCTTGGGCATTTTCTATGGCTTTATTATAGCCAACAGCAGACAGAGATGGGGAATGACTTGCAACAAAGGACCCTGGCCGGACCCAGAGATGTTGCTGCTAATGGTGAGCACCTCAACCCCTAGGCCACCAGGGTGCCCCCATGTGCAAATAAATGAATAACAAACAAA